CCACTATGCTAACGCGCCGGACCCCACATCAGGGTCTCTAAGATGACATCAAGGGACCACCCACATCCCCAGGTACTAATGTCATTTGGCAGATAAGAGTGGCGTCCTTTTCTTTCCTCATTTCCCCCTCTCCCTACAAATGTGGAAGAATAGGAAGATTGGGAGCATTTTTGTCACCCACCTTCCCCGTGCCTTGACCCTCTCCACCCTAAACAGCGGTCCTCATGATGTGTATCCTTGTCAACTGTGTGAACATCAAAAATGAAAAGTAGAAAAGCTCCTGCTTTGAGGGTAGTGTCTCGGGCTGCGGTCCAGCCTTCAGTGTTGCGCTCTGACAGCCGTTCAGAGGCAGAGTTGCCCTCTGGCGTTCCCTCTGTGACCCTGGCTACCAGTGGCAGCAAGTCATCAGTGAACTGAGTTGGGAAGCGGCTTGGAGTGTAGTTTTGTCCAGTTTTCATGGTAAAAGTGAGAAGAATAGAAATAAGGGAAATCATCTCTGTTTTCAGTGCTCGTTTTCTAGCCTGCCTGTAGAAAAATTCATCAGTGCTTCCATCATGTGGGAGAACGTGATGTTCATGAAGGATCACCTAGTGCAAGAATTTTTGGTAGTGGTTTAATAAAAACTTTTCAAAGTCACTGACAAAGGAGGTTCTTAATTTCAAATGGACTATAGCATATGTTTGGTGTTTTGGGTGTATGTGTGTGTGTGAATTACATGATGTTAAATTGAACAGTGTATGTTTTATTAACTACTGAAAACTAATAGATGACCTTTTGTTTAAAGAATATTTGTTTTTTTAAAAAAATTATTTGAAAGGGAGAGAGATCTTGCATTTCTTTATCTCCCAGATATCCTCACTGGCCGGGAGCCTGCTGCTTCTTCCAGTTTCCCGTTGTGAATGGCAGCAGCTCAACACTTGGTTCATCTCCTGCTGTTGCTCCCAATGCAATGGCTCAAGTGGCTAATCCTTCAAGCGCCGGATCACACGTGGGCACTGGTTTGTGTTTTGGCTTCTCTACTTCTTGCTTGTGGTCTGGGAAGGCAGGAGAGGCTGGTCCAGAATCTTGACCCTGCATCCGTGTGGGAGATCTGGAGGATTCTTTTCTTTAAGGGCAAAAAAAAAAAAAGGAAAAAAAAAAAAGAAAGCTCATTTGTCTGTAAGTTAATGATATCATAAAAAAACCTTTTGTTTATATGGATTATTTTATCTTTTATTTATTTCTTTATAAATTAAAGCGAATTATAACACATAAATTCATTTTAAAACTAATTTATTGTATAACATTTGGCATTTTTGTACTTAAAAAGCTCATTTAAAAAAAAAAGATTGATTTATTTTTATTGGAAAGGCAGGTTTACAGAGAGAAAGAGAGACAAAGAAAAAGCTCTTCTATCTGCTGGTCCACTTTCTAACTGCCTACAATGGAGCTGAACCAGGAGCCAAGAGCTTCTGCTGCATCTCCCACGCAGGTGCGGGGTCCCAAGGCTTTAGTTCATCTTCTACTGCTTTCCCAGGCCACAGGCAGGGAGCTGGGTGGGAGACGGAGCAGCCAGCACACAAAGCAGTGCCCACATGGGATCCTGACACCTGAAAGGCAAGGATTTAGTCATCAAGCAATCGCACTGGGCCCTAAAAATCTCATTTTTCAAGTTAAAAAATAGTAAGAAGAGTGACGTGGTTTGCGTTTTGGTAGATCTCTTTCACATTTGGCTTAATGGAAGACAGCAAGACTCATCTGCTTTGCAGTTCAGATTATTGTGACACGCACACACACACATAGACAATTATGCATATATAACGTTATATACACATTTTGGGGTGGTGTTCATGATTGAAGGATGGGAAAGGACAAATCTCAGCCCACAGAGATGTGTGATTATGAAGGCAGCTTATTGGTCCCTTGATTTGTGGGTGAGGAATATAAAATGGTGCATTCAGCTTTTGGAGAAAAACAAACTAAAAAAGTGATTAAGCCAAGAATAGTAATTGCAAATGAAGGATAGTTTGGAATGATAATGCAGTTTGGAAAAAAGCCATAGTGTTTACTGTTCAAGTGGAAATGATTATTTATTTATTTTTTTATATTGCACTGAAACTTGGTATGCTGGTTTCTTGGTGTTAGTTCCTATGTGGAACTTGGAACCATGTCAGTATGTTTTAGTACATTAAAGTCCTTTCACCTCTCTTGCACTCTAGTCATTTTTACATCGTTTGTCATTTGAAAAGTATTGATTTAGCTATGTAGGTTGCTAATATTGACACATTTTTCATGGTATTTAAACAGCTGTATTTATTAGTTTTATGACTATCAGAAAGTTGCTAGTAGTGGAATCTGTCAAAAAGATTGCTGGTTCACTTGCAGTTCATTTGCATATGTGGTTTTTTTCCCAAGACAGCTATTGTAGTTTTTTTTTTTTTTAAGATTTCTAAAAAATTTTTTATTTGAAAGAGCACAGTTACAGAAGGAGAGACTGAGAGAGAGTAAGAGAGAACTTCCATCCACCCGTTCATTCCTCAAATGGATGCAACAGCCAGAGCTGATCTGAAATTGGGAGGAAGGAGCCTCTTCCTGGTCTCCCACCAGGGTACAGGGTCCCAAGGCTTTGGGCTGTCCTCTGCTGCTTTCCCAGGCCACAAGCAGGGAGCTGGATGGGAAGGGGAGCCAACTGGACTCTAACCAGTTTCTAGCTGTTTATTTTTCGTCTGTGTTTAAACTAGTAGTATAATTGTCACTGCAATGTCATAGGTAAATAATTTTAATATTTGTATGAAGAAAGACTTTGGCTTTTCAGATACTTTGCAAGCGACTCAGGTATTCACAGAATTTTGCAGATTGCATTTTGAGACTTGCTTGTCAAGAAGATCACAAGAAAGCCAGTGTGCTATCAAGGGACAGGATTGTATCAGAAGGACTCAGGAGCTGGCATGAAGAGGCTCCCAAATGGGATAGGACAGTTTGAGCACCAGTAACCTAGTGCAGAAAACGTAAAATATGTGTAAATCTGAGTTCATATTCCTACATTAAGCCACAACACTTCCTCACCTGCTTGAGGTAAATTATAAATGCTGTACTTCTATACACAATCAGACATGTAATAGGGCACTCAAGCACTTGGGCTGTGCCCACTGTTTTCCCAGGCCATTAGCAGGGAGCTGAATCTGAAGGGGAGCAGCGGGACTCTGACTGGCCCCCAAATGGGATCGCCAGTTCCACAGGTGGAGGCTTAACTTGCTATGCCCCAGTGCTGGTCCCAAGAGCTTTTATATTTTAGAAACAGATAATACCAGATTTTTTTTTTCCCTAGAGGAGATGAATCTTACATTTGCTTCAGAATTAGCCAGTGTGATGTGTGATGTGTGTGCTTGAATGTAGGTGTGTGAGAAGTAGGTTGCCCATGAATTGATAATTGTTGAAGCTAAATAGTGAGTAAGTCATTGTATTATTTTTTCCCTTTTGAAATTTCCCATAATATGAAAGTTCTTGCTTATTCAGGTTTATGATGAAGAGTATTAAGGAATCATTCCTTCCTCCTACAATGTTGGAAGGAAAAGAAAATTTGTAAAAACTAAAATATATAAACTGACTTTTGTCTCCATATATATTTTTTTAATTTCACAAAATTAGGTACTTACAAAAGCAAATAGAGAAGGAAAAGGATCCTTTGATCCGATCATCCAAGAAATAAATAATTATAATGTGTGTATTACTGCTTAAGAGCATTTTGCTACATTATCTTTGGAGGTAGTTCTGAATTTTATATTATAATTTCCTTGTCTTTATCTATAGAATGCATTTATTTATATATCTAATACATAATTCATGTATGTGTGTATAATTATACTCTGTGTAATACATTTATATGCATTATAAATGTACACAAGAATAGTGTATTACATATTTTGAAACCTTATTTTAATGATATAGTATACATATTAAAATTTTAGCCTTCCTTTTAAGATTAATGTACAATGCTGTTTCTGTTTATACAATATGCTGGTTATCCGAAAAAATGTGGCTATGTTTATAAATATTTTCAGTGGCATGTTAGTTACATTTTCAAATAATATGGTGATTTTTTTCAACATTAATATATTCTGTCAAGTGAATTACTTCCAGATTTAAGTTTTATGTCTGTTTGTCAATCTGACAGTAGAATGAATGCACAAATGCAATGTAGTCCATGTTTTTGTTTGTTTGTTTGTCTGGTCCCTATAGAAACAGTCTGATCAGTGCTAGCTACAGTTCCTGGTAACCGGGGTTGTGGAATAAGATGTGCAGGGTCTCTGCCTGCATGGGACTTAAATAGCCTCAGACAGTGGTGAATGGTATGGCTATGTTTTGTTATTGGAATTGGAGACATGGGTGGAAGTGGGCACTGTGTGACACAAGGCCAAGCCATTTGTTTTGGATAGTGCTGAGGATGCTGGCTGTGTTGAGGCTGCAGGTGTCCACGGGAGGCTTGTGGAAGACCTCAGGGAGCAGAAGAGAACCCTGTGGTGAGAAATGGGGAGTGTCTGCCTGCTAGGCTTGCCCAGCCCTTGTTTGTGTGCTAATGGGTCTGACCCATTCGAAAGGGTGAGATAGATGTGAGTCAGGGAAAGGATGAGTGAGGGGGCAAACACCTAGAAAATGCCACAGGGCTGGCGTCCAGTGGAAGAGTGTTCTTAAAAGTGAGAAAGCATCCCTCTTCTCAGAAACTTCTGTCTCACTCGTAGAAGCCAAACTCCTTAAAATGACATGCAGGACTCTAAATGTCCTGCCCTCTTCCTTTAGGAAGCAGGGAACTGACTAAAGCAAACTAAACCAAATGAATGGCTTAGTTAAATCAGTAGAATTTTAGCAATGTTAACAGTAAGGAAATGTTCTGTGTGTACGTGCTTAATGTTTTAGGAAAAGTACAGTTTTATTAAACAGCGATCTTATGGTACTTGATTTATGATTGACATAGAATGTATCCAGATGTAACATACTTTGTTCTTTATTATCATTTTTTTTAGCAGTGTGACCAATAATTCTCGGATTGTGGGACTCCTGGCTCAGTTGGAGAAGATAAATGCTGAATCTGCAGACGCTGACGCTACCAGATATGTCACATCAAAGATTCTTCATCTCGTTCAAAGTCAAGGTAGGCTTTAGTCTCTGCTTTGTTTTTCGAATGCTTAAAAGTAGATGCTAGGGATGTTCAAACTTTTGGTGAATGTCTGATTTCCTGTGAGAATCGAACCTTATTAAACTGGCTCAACAAGGGGAAAGCTGAGAGGCTGTGGAGGACACCGATCATTGGTACCATGTTTGTGATGTTTTACTTCTGTATGAGTTTTGCTGTGAATTCCATCCAGTTTACTTGTAGTGGCAGGTGTCGGCATCCAGGTGGGGAGGGAATGAGTGCACCAGAGCAGACTGGTGGAAACAGTGGAGTTAGGATGAACACGTTCCAGTGGTCCAGTGGGCACGCCACACCGTCTGAGGCTAATTGCTTACTGCAAGGTGGACTGGAAGGGTGCGTCTTGGTTAGGGTAGATTTTCTTGTGGTCCAGCAGCTTTTTCCCCTGGATGACTAGCCTTTCTTGGCAGAGCATGGGAGTTTGTGTCATCCTTTGCCAGAGACTTTCCCATGCCATCCTGGAGCCCAGGGCAGCCCTCACACAGAATGTAGACGGAAAGCTATCAGGTGCTATGGAAGAGCTGGCTGTTGTCATGCTCCCACTGTGAAAATCGGCTCCATTCATGTGGGTAGGTTCCTTAGGGAAGCTACTGAATCTCTGAGATGTAGCTGCACCTTCTGCAAGAGAGAGGTAACATGTCATGGGACTGTGGTGAAATTTACGTAAGAGCCATCAAGAGGAATATTAAAGTGCTCAGTAAATGCCATCAGGAATGCAGTTTTATGTTTCTCACAATACTATACTGATATCAGGTATTGACAAGGGTACCCAAGAAATGCTGCATTTGCGCTGAGACATGTGAGAAAACCTAAATAAACATTGATAAATTAGGGCCCGGTGCAGTGGCCTAGCTGCTAAAGTCCTCGCCTTGAACGCATGGGGATCCCATATGGTCACCGGTTCTAGTCTTGGCAGCTCCACTTTCCATCCAGCTCCCTGCCTGTGGCCTGGGAAAGCAGTCGAGGACGGCCCAAAGCCTTGGGACCCTGCACCCTCGTGGGAGACCTGGAGGAAGTTCCTGGCTCCTGACTTCAGATCAGCACAACACTGGCCATTGTGGTCACTTGGGGAGTAAATCATCAGATGGAAGATCTTCCTCTCTGTCTCTCCTCCTCCTCTCTGTTTATCTGACTTTGCAATAAAAATAAGTAAATGTAAAAAAAAAAAAAGATAAATTAAGAGCATGCATTAAGAGGTGAATATCCTTGCTAAAAAAAAGTTACTTCAAGATTACAAATTTTTAATATTAACATAACATTATTTGGACAAGTTAAATGGATATTAAGAATAAAAACCTTTTCTTTCTATTTTATTCTGTTATTTTATTCTAAAACTTGTGCTTGATTTCTATGATTTTTCTCACTCTATTCTCACACACATGTGCCTATTTTGGGCATGGAAGGGGAAAGCCAGCAGCTACCTTAATATTTAGCAGCAGTACTTTAATAACATTTCTGTTAAAATTCCAATCAAAATCCCAACAATATTCTTCTCAGAAATAGAAAAGAAGATACAAAAGTTCATCTGAAAGCACAAGAGAACACAGATAGCCAAAGCTATCCTGAGGAATAAAAATCAAGCTGGAGGAATCACAATTCCAGACCTTAAGACATACTACAGGGCAGTGGTCATCAAAACAGTCTGGTACTGGCACAGAAACAGAGGATCAATGGAGCAGAATAGAAACCCCAGAAGGGAGCCCACACATGTGCAGCCTACTAGTCTTTGACAAGGAAACTGAAAACAATCCAGGGAAAAAGCCTGGTCTAGTCAAGAGATGCTTTTGGGACAATTAGATAGCAGCTTGCAGAATTAAGAAACAAGGCCTCACCTGTCACCTTATAAAAAAAAAATCAACTCTAAATGGGTCAAGGACCTAAATCTGTACCCAGAAACCATCAAACTATTAAAGGAAAACAGAGTAGGCACACTCCAAGATATAGGAACAGGGAAAGACTTCTTAGAAAGGTTACCAAAAGCAGAGGAAGTCAAAGCCAAAACAAACAAGTGGGACTACATCAAACTAAAAAGCTTCTGTACAGCAAAGGAGACAGTCAACAAAGTGAAGAAGCAACCAATGGAATGGGAGAAAATCTTTGCACACTACATGAGTGATAGGAAACTAATATCCAGGATTTACAAAGAGCTTCAGAAATTCAATGATAGCAAAACAACCCTGTTAAGAAATGGGTGAAAGAAATTTTCAAAAGAACAGATTCATATGGCTAATAGACATATGAAAAGATGCTCAGGCTCCCTGGCTGTCAAGGAAGTACAAATGAAAGTACATTGTGGTTCACCTAACTCCAGTGAGATTGACTTACAGTCAGAACTCGAATAACAACACCTACTGGCGTGGATGTGTGGGGAAAAGTGCCCTCTTCACTGCTGGTGGGAGTGTAGGCTAGTACAACCACTATGGAAGTCAGCATTGGAGAGTGCTGAGAGAACTGAAAGTTGACCTGCCATATGATCCAGCTGTCTCACTTCTGGGAAAATGCAAAGGAAATGAAATCTGCGTATGAGAAAGGGATCTGTAATCCTGTAATTATAGCAACACACTCTACAATGGCAAAGACATGGAAACAACCGAGATGTCCATCCAGAGGAGTAGATAAAGAGACTGTGGTACATCTACTCATGGAATACTACTCAGCCATTAAAAAGGAATTCTAGCATTTGCAACCAAATGGTCCCAGCTAGAGACCTACTATGGTCAGTGAAACAGGTCAGTCCCCAAAGGACAAATATCATATATTCTGTCTGGTATAAGGCAGCCTTCTTGCAAATTGTACGATCAGTAACCCTTTCTGTACTTTTCTTGGTGGTGCCGATGTGTTTTGATGTTTTTGTTTTTATTTTCATTTCTTACACACAGTTTCTTTTATCTTGTCGAATTCTTTGCTAGCTTGTGGATTACTCAGTGACATCGTTTTACTAAAGAGGCTTTTTGTTTTGCTTTTATTTCTCCAGTGACGTCTTGCTCATTCAGTGATGTGTTGTTTGACTCCTTGGTGCTGTAAATTTTTTGTTTTAACTTCATTCCTGTTGTTGGCTTTGTTTCGTTGACTTGTTTTGCATCTCATTTAAGGGAATGTATAGTGGTGGTGTAATAGAGACTCTCATGTCTGTATGTGAACATACAATGCAGTGTGCATCTCTACTTCCAAATTAAACAGGGACTCCCAGTGAAATTGTTGGCTATATCTTTACATTTAGGATGCTGGGCTGTCTGACGTTGTCTGTAGCAGCAATGTCAGGATACGCTTAGTTAACAGACTGATGGACTTATGACTGTATATGAAGGACTATGCCTTTGTAAAAATATGGGCAAAATCAGTCAGGAGGTGTGAATTTAGGGAAGGGGTAGGGAAATCCCAGACACTATGGAATTATATCATAACATTCAGAATTACAAAAAATATCAAAAAATTCCTTGTTTCTTCTTGTTGTAACTTCTGGATTATGTGAATGTTTTAAGAATCAAATTTTAATTTACCTGTTGATTTTGTAGATTTTTGATCCCTTGAAAAGAGTAATTTTTTTCCCCAGCATATTAAAGTATGTTTGAAATAATATAGGTAAAGTAGGTGGGATGTTGGCCTGTGATCAGTTTTTCTTTTGTTAATTAAAGAAGAATTTAAAAGAAGCTCTAGGAATCCTTAAATAATGGAAACAGAGTTTCTTTCTTCTTCTTATTTTTTATGTGTGTGTGTGTGTGTTCCCCACTCCCAATCCGAGCGTGAGGGAAGGGATCATTTGGGTGATCTGGTCTCCATTAGAGACTCCTTCCTCCTGGTGATAAATTTTGCTTGTTCTAGAATTCTTAAACAGTATTAGTACATTCGGAACCTTTAACAACAGTGTTAAATTTTTGTTTTCCTTTATCTTGGTTCATTGTTTTCTAGCTATACTCATGAAGATGAAGAAAGAGCCTTACCATGATTCTTATCTCACTTTCAGTTCTGACAGTTGTACTGTATCATCAGCTGTAAAATTCTAGATAGATTCCTAGGGACTTGCCTTATTCCCTGATGGAATGCCAGGAAAGTGAACTGCAAGGAAGGTCTTGTTAATTGAAATCTAGAGGTCCACACAGCGCAGACTCAGCACCATCCGAAGAAGGAACACCTAGGAAAATGTAGACTTGCTGATTATGTCTTAGCTATGTGTAACAAAACTGTGCATATCCTTTCTGGGTTGATGTTTAAGGACAAGTTGTTTTCTGTTTTTCAGAAAAAACGAGGAGAGAGATGACAGCCAAAGGCTCTACGGGAATGGAGGTGCTGCTAACCACCTTAGAGGTAAATCACTGTGAACTGCTGAGATGAAGCAATGCTGAAGGGGGAAATGACCTCACATATTTTTTGTGTGTGCACATTCAAGAAATATAACATTTTTCTTTTAAAAGATTTATTTTATTGTCGTTACAAAGTCAGATATATAGAGAGGAGGAGAGACAGAGAGGAAGATCTTCCGTCCGATGATTCACTCCCCAAGTGAGTGCAATGGCTGGTGCTGTGCCTATCTGAAGTCAGGAGCCAGGAACTTTCTCCAGGTCTCCCACATGGGTGCGAGCCTTTGGGCCGTCCTCGACTGCTTTCCCAGGCCACAAGCAGGGAGCTGGATGGGAAGTGGAGCTGCCAGGGTTTAGAACTGGCGCCCTTATGGGATCCTGGAACGTTCAAGGCTAGGACTTTAGCCGCTAGGCCGCTGTGCCAGGCCCTACAACATTTTTTCTTAGAGATAAAGCAAATGAATGAAAGTTTATGCTTTAAATTGTTATTTGGTATATTTCCCTGTGAGTATAATTAAATCATAAAGTTTAATCTTAATGCCATTTCAGTTAGTAGAAGATAATAAGTGATAGATATTGGGAATGCTTACCAGTTGTTATATATTCATGATCTGTTTTACTAGTATTAGTTGAGTGTTTTATATTGATGATAATTGATTTTCTGTGTTAGTGTTTTTTGTGATAAGTATTCAGAATCAGGATTTTGAATTTTAGTCATGACAGTGTTAAAAACAAGGAATGAATTCATGTTTTTTTGTTTGAAGATTTATTTATATATTTGAAAAGTTAATAGAGTAAGGCAAGGGGAGGGTCAGAGAAAATTTTTCATCTGCTTGTTCATTTTGCAAATGGCCACGATAGCCAGGGCCGAGCAGCTGAAACCAGGAGCCTGGAGCTTCTTTCAGGGCTTCCATATGGGTGGCAGGATCCCCTCTGCTGCCTTCCTTAGGCCTGTTAGCAGGCTGCTGGACTGCCATAAAAGATCTGGCAGTTTAGAGCACTCATTTTGTCTCTGTCTCTTATTGTTGGTGATGTTTACATAGTGCAGAAGGATGCTTACCCATGTGGCCACAGATAAGGGTGGGTAAAGTCAAGTAATGAGGGAAAGTGGATTGAGACCATTGTTTCCTTTATGTCCCTTTTTGTGTCTGGAGGAAAGGAGGAGAAAATGGGAGAGGGCAGCTCTCAGAAGCCTAACTGCATCCATACCCAGGGATGCGAGACAGCCCCTCCATGCCATCCTGTGGTCCTCAGCGTGGAACATGTTCCAAGGGCACTGCCCGAGTGGTTTGAGTAGTTCTGAGATGCTATTGATGACACTGTTCCAAGGTTGAGGAAATCCTGCCAAGGTCCCATGTCTGATATAGTCCACCTTGGGGTCTCCACTCATCCAGTTACTTGCTGTCAACGTTTGGCTGGGAGAGTTGTCCGATTTGTTCTGCCCTCCATGGTACTAGATATCCCCTGCAGGCCTCAAAGATCTGTCGTGTCCTCCATGTGCATCTGCGCATGCCGTCTGCTGCACAGGCTTTAGCAATCGAAGAGGCACAGTCCTGAGCATGGCACTCCATAGTCAGACCACAGATCCTGTGATTTTTCCAATGGTTGGAGTTTTGAGACCTTTGATCCAGTTGGAGGGTGGCCCCCAAAGAAACATCACCAGAAGTGACCCCAGTGCTGACTCCTTTGTGACAGCACAATGCAGGGTCTAGTTAGTCCATTACTCATTTAGCCTGTACACACCAGTGGTTGTAGTTGCCCAGTCAGTTCTGTCTCTAGCTTCATCTCATATGCAGGCCCTTGCATGATCCAACTCAGGCCAACCCTGTCCACAACACACTCAGCCCTCATATACACCAGTGGGAACTGCAGCCTAGTCGGAGCAACTAATCCCCCACCAGGCCTGCCCCCAGCCTCAGTTCCTACACATGCCAGTATGTGCAGCAGGCTGGTCCATAGACTGCTGAGGACTGGTTAACACAAAACACTTCCTGTGTCCCCTTTGGTTCTTACATACATTAATAGGTACTGTGTACTAGCTCAGCCTGGCCAACCCCACTATCCAGTCTACTGTTATGCTGGTGGGAGCTTCAGCCAGGCCTGCCTGCAGCCCTTGTCCTCATGCTCTCTAGTGGGAGCTGCTTGCCCATCAGAGGGATGCCCACAATTTCCCTACTAGGCCCTCTCCTGGTCCTGAATCTTGCACTTTCCAGGTGGTACTGGGAGTCTGCCATGACAGGACTTGCCCCCAGGGCGGCACTTGCCAGCTGATGCTGTAACAAAAGCCATCCAGCCTGCATTTCCTCTGGTTCCTGCCCGCACCAGTGGATATGGTCACTTAGTGCAGCTTGATTCTCCTCCTTACTTTGCTCATGTGGAGGTTAGCAGGTTTTATAGCCCTGCCTAGCCTAGTCTGCTCCAATCCTAGTTCTCACACTCCCCAGTGGGAGTAGTGACCTAGCAGTGGAGCCCCCACACCCCCCTATTAGGCTCATTATCCCTTCTTCCCACCCCCCATCTTGGTTCTTACGTGTGCTGGTGCATGCTGCAGCCCAAACTCGCATGACCCTCCTTGCCTCAGAATTCACCAGCAGATGCTGTAGCCTGGCTAGGCCTGGTCTGCCTCCAGTTCTACCTCATGCTGGTGGGTGCTGTGGCCTTTCCTAGTGCAGCCAGTCCCCAGTCCTGGCCTGTAATGTGAACTGGCTGGTGTAGCTGCCCAACTCAGCCTGTCCTGCGCCCTGTCCTGGATCTCATGTCTGCCAGTGGATATTAGGGACTGGCCTGTCCTTGGCTGCTCCTAGACCTGAGCACACATATGCTGGCTGGTACTGTAACCTGGCCTGGTCTGGGCTGCTCTCAGCCTTGATTCTTGGACTCACCTGAAGGGACTGCATCCTGACAGGAGTTCTCCATGCTCATCTTTCAGGTCACCTTCCAGTAGCAGATCCTGTGCATGCTGGTAGGTTCTTGGTCCAGCCTCACTTGGCCCACCACCTGTCCTGGGAGTTACAGTGACCCTGCCTGACCAGCCCTCACTCATTCTGGCTCTTACAGTTGGGTGCTACAATCCAGCTTTCACATGGTTCAGTGGGCCCAACCTGTTCTATACCCACTTTAACTCTTGTGAGCATAGCAGATGCTGAACCTGGACCAGTCCTGCACACTCAGACCCAGTTCACACCCATGCTACAGCCATGTCTAGCCCTGCTCACCACCTCTATTCCTGCTCTTACGCTCACCAGTGAGAACCGCAGCCCAGCCAGGACATTCCCTAACTTCCTTACCAGGCCTGTTGCCAACCACAGATCTTGCGCATGCTGGTGATTGCTCTGACCCAGCCCAGCATAGCCCATCCCCCATCTTGGCTATTATATTAGATGCTGCAGCCTCCAGTCCCAACTCTCACCAGTGGGTGCTGTAGCTTAGCCCTGCCCAGTCTGCCCCCATCTCTGGCTCTCATGGAAACCAGTAGGTGTGAGAACCTAGCCTAGCCCACATGGCCTATATCCTAGATCCCACACCTGCCAGTGTGCTTACTGTTTGGCCTAGCTTTGCCCAGTCCACACCTGTTCCAGAACCAACCCACATACCTGCCAACAAGTGGAACAGCCTTGCCTGGCCTAACAAACACTCAGCCCTGACTCGTGCTCATCAGTGGGAGCTTCTGTCTACCAGGAAGAGTTCCCAAGTTTCCATACCATGCCCAGATCTCATGCGTGCCAATAGCTTTTAGGCCCTTACCCAGTATACTCCACCCCCCAGTATTGGCCTTTGTGTGTGCTGGTGGATATTGTGGCCTGGCCTGCCCCAACCCAGCTTTTGGGTGTGTCTGCAGGTGGGCACACGTGGACTAGCCTGGACCAGCCTGGCCTGTTCTGAACTCTGGTATCCATGAGTGTTGGAGAGTTCATGGTTATACCTAGTTTGGTCTGTCGATACCTCCAACTCTTGAGCAAACCAGGGGATAGTACAGTCTCATAGGGACCAGCCCACATATTCTTAGAATCTGCCCTCAGTCCTGGCTCTCTCGTGTGCTGGTTAGTGGCATGGCCTAGCCTGATCTGACCCATCCCCTGCTCCAGCACTCATTGGTGGGTACTGTGGTCCAGCCTTACCAAGTAGGCCCCTGGTTCTAGCTTTCATGTGCAGTGCTATATGGTGGTCAATGCTAATTAGCCCAACTCAAGTCTCGCATGTGGCTTGGTGCATTGATCTAACCCAGAAAGATCCTTCAGTTTGCCTGGTTGAAACCTCTGTGTCTTAGCTTCCTTAATTATCTGCAAATACAGTGGCCATGTTGGCAGAAGTCCCCCAGAAGTCACTCCTTACCTATAATGTACTCCCTTAGCTGTCCTCCCTCCTACATATCCTATTCCTCCTTCCCTGATGAATCCAAACCCCCCATTACCATGAGCTCATGGGTTCCTCAGCCCTGTCTTCTGTTGGGGAGGTGTGCTGGCCTGAAGCACTGCCTGCTCATCCAGGATTCCAGATCCAGACCTCTGGCACATGTGCCGGCCTGGGACCTTACCCCTCTGTCCATCCAGGACTCAGGCATGTTAATGAGTCCCCAAGTCCACCAGCACACCAGGCCAACATGCCATCCTGTGGCCCTAACGCCACCACCACTACCACCTGCCTAGGACCTAAACATGTGCGGGAGTCCCAGACTTGCTCCGTTCCACTGGCCCCCAGTGCCAGTTCCCTCATGCTCTGAGACCACCTAGCAGAAAACGAGGGCTTTTTCAGTAGGAATACAATTTGGGGCTGGCATTGTGTGTCAGTAAAGCCAGTGCCTGAAGGGCTGGCATCCTTACCTGGAATGGATTTGAGTCTGGGCGGCTCCACTTCCACTCTAGTTCCCTGCTCATGTGCCTGGGACAGGCAGCGGAAGATGAGGTCAAGTGATTGGGTCCTTCCCATGTGATACACCTGGAAGAAGCAGCTGAATCCTGGTTTCAGCCTAGCTCAGCCTGGTTGTGGCTGCCATCTGGTGGATGAACTAGTGAATGGAAGATTTCTTTGTTCTTGGCTCTGCAACTCTGCCTTTCAAATAGATAGATTAAAAACAAACAAACAAACAAAACCGAGAGTTTTGCCTCTGAAGTTAAAATGGGAAGAAAAGTAAATTAGAATTAGGACATTTCTGTAAAAGTGAAGTTGGAACTCCTATCGAATATCAAAGAATATTTTAAAGCTTTATTGATTAAAATAGCTTAGTAAGTAGTGGACAGTGTAACAGAATAGAGAAATCCCAAAATAAACTAAAATGCTGGTGGGAATTAAATACTGCATAATCAAAGTAGTGTTTCAGATAAGTAAAGGACCTGCTTAACAAGTAGACCTGGGGCAAATCATTAACCGTCTGGAAAGGTATAATATTGAGTTTTTACCTCATTTTTCTTTTCGTATGAAACTAATAGTTAAATATGGACAGTTAAGTCTTAGTACTAGAGAAGCATAGGGAGATTTTAAAAAAATAACCTGACAGAAAGAAGCTTCTATATGTATGCAACAAACAGGGGCCATAAAAGAAAAGACTGATAAATTCAGCTACAAAAATGCATGAGTGTAAACACCATTATTAATTGGAAAACTCATACATTTTCTTTTTTTAAAAAATTTATCTATTGATTAAAAGCAAAGTGACAGAAGAGACAGAGATATAACTTTTATCCATTGCTTCACTCACTAAAAGGCCAAAATGGCCAGAACCGGACCAGTCTACATCCAGGAGCTGGGGGCTTCTTCTGGGTCTCCCATGTGGGTGCAGGGTTCCAGGAACCTGGGCCGTCCTCCACTGCTTTCCCAGGCACATTAGCGGGGAGCTGGATGGCAAGTGGGGTGGCTGGGATCCTTATGGGGCACCATTGCTGCAATTGGTGGTGCCTCACAAAACCATTGCACTGTAGTGCCAGCCCCACATGGATTTTTCTTTATCCTATGAAGAGCTACAAATCAATGCAAAAAAAAAAAAGATATGCAATGGTTATGAATAGACAGGTCCCAGAAATAGAAGACTAGTGTCACTTGAGATTGAACATCATTTCCAGTAAGAGAAATATAACTGAAATACGTTCTCACATCATGGAGTGGGTTGACCAGGCTTTGTCAGTTAGATTCCATTGCTGATGGAATTGTAAATTATATGATGTGCAGCAGTTTGGTGACATCTGCCTATGTGAATGCCCATAAGTTCTGACCTAGACATTTATCCCAGAAACAAATGTGCTTCGTCACATATAAAAATGTCTAGTTGTTTTTTGAAAGTTTTTTATAACAGGAAATTGAAAAAAGCCTAAGCATGTAAAATAAATGATTAAGTTACATGAACAAGGGACATGGGCAAATGAGGAGACCCAGAAATATTTATGGAGGAATTACTATTTTCTGTGAACTTTTTGAGAATCCCTCGCTTAATGGAGTTTATCTTTTAGCCCATAAAAAGGATAAGGAAGTTATGTATTGACCAAGATATAAGGTGTCCAGGTACAGACTAGTTTCCAATGGGTAGAGCCCTTTGATGAAGTAAATGTGCCTGAATGTTTGTGTAAATGGATTCTTAGGACACAAAGCTAGCATGATTGCCCTCTACGAGGGAGTTGGCATACACACATCTTAGTGCCTGTTAAATTATTATTATTATTTTTTAGGATTTATTTATTTTTATTGAAAAGTCAGATTTACAGAGAAAAGTAGAGACAGAAATGTCTTCCATCCGCTGGTTCACTCCCCAAATGGCCAGAATGGCCGGAGCTGAGCCAATTTGAAACCAGGAGCAAGGAGTCTCCTCCAGGTCTCAAGGCTTTGGGTCATCCTCTGCTGCTTTCCCAGGCCACAAGAGGGAGCTGGGTGGGAGGTGGAGCTACCGGGATTAGAACCGGCACCCATGTGGGATCCCGGCATGTGCAAGGGGGAGGATTGGTCAATGGAGCCATCACTCCAGGCCAAGTGCCTTTTACATTATTTATTTATTTGCTTTTGATTTTATTTGTTTGATAGGGAGCGTGAATACAGAGAAACAAAGAGACGTAGTTATCCATCTGTTCCTCAGATGCAAAGCTGAGGATGGACCAGTTTGAAACAGAGATTCAAGGATGGAGTCATACCTGCTCTCTCCAGGGTGTACATCAGCAAGAAAGCCGAAGTAGAACCCAGGCATCCATGTGGGCTGTGGGCAGCTGAGCTGCTGAGCCAAATGCCCCTCCTGGCTTTTGCTACCTGTTTGGTAGAAGGATGAAGAGTTCAATTGTCAGATTAATTCCTCCTTTGATATTGTTGCCACTAAGAAAGCAGTAATTCAGATGATTTGTAAAAATTTTTAGTGGCAGTCAAAAGAAACTGAATATATGAGAATAGTAGAAACCCAAATATATTTGTTTTTAGAGAAAAGTCATTCGCAAAATGTTGGCAGTTCCCAACAAGTGGAAAAAAAATATTTGGGAATGACAAAATTACAGTGTCTTAATGAAACAAATCAATTATTTATTTCAGAGCATGAAAGATCTTCAAACTGCACTTAATATCTTAAACATTCTTGTTGAGCTGGTGTCCGCTGGTAAGTTTTTGTTTCTGTCGGATTGATTTCTGTTTGTGAGTAGTCATCAATAATGTAAGATTCATGTGTGTTTTATGTGGAATTTTCTGGTACTTGGAGCAGGGGCTCTTCCGAATACTGAACTGAAACATTGAAATCTCTTTGTGCGGTGTTACTTTGTTTTTTGGTGTCTGTAAGTGTTCCTCCAAATACTCCAGGAACAATACGTTTAAGAGCCTGAACTTAACTTATAATTTTGGTGTTGTATGTTTATTCTTTATGTATTGCGTCCTTTGTAAGTGAAATAAAGTGATATTGGCAGTATTTGTTTTAGTAATTAGCACTCTTTTTTTTCAATCAGCACTGTGAACATTTGTGGAACAAGAACAAATTGTGATAAGCTGGTATAGGAAGGTTTTATTATGAAAAGCATTTTTTTCTAACTTTTAGGTGGAGGTCGAAGAGCAAGTTTCTTAGTTGGCAAAGGTGGTTCACAAATACTGTTACAGTTGCTTACGAATGCCAGCAAAGAATCTCCCCCAAATGAGGAGTTAATGATACAGATTCATTCAGTTCTGGCAAAGATTGGACCAAAAGGTAAAGGTTTAACGTCTAGGCCATCTTTGTAACTTCTAGAGTCATCTTTGTAAAATTCATTCTTTCTGCCTTTAATTTGCTCACTTTAGAAAAGTCTAATTGTTACTGCTTTTTGCTGGTTTTAGTAATGGAATGCTTTGTATGGTTATCTAGTAACCTTCAAGAGAGGAGGGACCAGTGGCCAGCCTTGTGGCAGAGTGTGTTAAGCTGCTGTTGCCGATTGCATTCCATATACGTGCTGGTTCCTGTCCCAGCTGCTCCGTTTCTGACTCAGTTATCTGCTCGTGTGCCTGAGGAAGCAGCAGCAGAAGGCCCAGCTTCTTGGACCCCTGCTACCTTAACGAAGCTCCTGACTATGGCCTGGCCTGGTTAGCTTAACAGATACAGACATCTTTTAAATGGACTCTCAGGAATCGAAGTTCAAAGATTATATGAGTCCCCAATCTCTTAGAATTATCATGAGAATTTTGCCTATGGCATATGCATATGACCTTTTTTTTTTTTTTTACAAAAGATATATTTATTTTTACTTGAAAAAATTATATATAGGAAGACATAGAGAGAGAGAGGATCTTCCATCCATTGTTATACTACCCATTTGGCTGCGTGGTCAAAGCTGGGTCTGAACCTGGGAACCAGGAGTTTCTTCCGGGTCTTCCATGTGTGTTCAGGGGCCCAAGGCCTTGGGCCATCTTTTGCTGCTTTCCCAGGGCATTAGTAGGGAGCTGGACCAGAAGTGGATTAGCCAGGACAATAACTGGCACTCATATGGGATGCTAGCGAAATAGGCCAGAGAATTGACACACCACTCTGCCAGCCCCAGCGTATAGATTTTAAATTTTAAATAAAATTTATTTGGCTGAAATACCATCCTGAAAAGTGTGTATTTACGTAGTTTAAGATTCAGGAGGGTGGGGAGAGGGAGGGGAAACCCCAATGCCTATTAAACTGTATCATAAAATAAAGAATTAAAAAAAAGAAGATTCAAAGCACATCTTTTTATTATTTAGTTGGCAGTTGTAAACTGGTAAGCAACACTGATTGGATATTAATTTTCCTGGTGGGGTCTTAAGAAATAAATATGCAAATATTCAGTTATTTAAGAATTGTGTGGTGTTGGAAGGAAAATCCACTGTTTGCAGTGGGCGCCACTTTTGTCCCGGGTGCTTCACTTCCAGTCTGGCTCTTTGTTAATGCACCTGGGAGAGTAGCGGAAGATGACCCGAGTGTTTGGGCCCCTGTAATTCATGGGAGAGACCTGAAAGAAGCTCCTGGGTCCTGGCTGCTGGCTTCCACCTGGCCCAGAGCCAGCTGATACAACCATCTGGGGAGTGAATCAGAAGATGAAAGATCTCTGCCTCTATCTCCTCCTCTCTGATTTTCAGAATAAATTACTAAAGAGAAAAGTATTGCCTGTGTCTTTGTTTGAATCTTGTGTGAGGGATAGATTTACTTTTGAGATTTTTTTTTTTTTTTTTACCAAAAGTGAGAATGAAAACTAAAATAAGAAACTGTTATTTTGCATTATGTATCACCTCATGTTTCCTTCTGTGATTAGAAATAACTTACCTTCTGGTTTTCATGAAGTTAAAATATTTGTGTACTTAATTTGTATTTATTAAATGTTCAAGTTGTAGGCATCTGCATTTTTCCTGTATATTTGAAAAAGTTTTGTGCTGTTCTCTACTGTTCATCCCAGTTTTCCATTTTTCATGTCATTGAAGGCATCATACAGGAAATTTTTTTCTGTGTTAATGATTTTCTAAACTTTCTTATGTCTTGAGAGGTCAGATTAATTTTCCTACAGGAATATTTAGTTTTTGTTTTTGACTTAGAATTTTTTTCTTGGTTATTTATTTTCATTGTATTTGAAAGACAGAATGATTATTTGATTTTGCATTTTTTGATTCACTCTCCTAATGCCCTTAACAGTCTGGGCTGGGCCAGGCTGAAGCTGCCAAGAGCCTGGAACTCTGCCTGGGTTTCTCACATGGGTGACAAGTGACCCAAGCATTTGGGCCATCTTATCTGTCTCCTAGGGTGCACATCAACAGGAAGCTGATTTAGGAGAGGAGCTAGCACGGGAACTCCGATTTGGGATGTCGGTATCCCAGATTTTCCATATGAAATGTTTAATTTTTAAGTTGATTTAGAATTGTTGTACTCAGCTATGTAAAGGTTTTCCTGGGAGATGTGCAGACTGAACATCTGCGGTGGGTCAGTTATATTCTTCCTTTGACTTGCAACAGGCTTAAGTGTGGGCTGTTCTCATTGTTTTCTCCCACCCTAACCTGTCTCCCACATGCCCTTCACTACATTGTTTCAAGTGTAAGAGGTATTTTCAGTATGTGATTATAATTTTGATCATTTCGAATCTATATTTTATTTGACAATATGGGAGCACAATAGAAATATAAGACATTCTTGCTTTATGATATTTTCATTTTATTCAACATTTACATGTGAATAAATCCTAATTTTGCTTCTTTTAAACAGATAAAAAATTTGGAGTGAAAGCTAGAATTAATGGGGCTCTGAATATCACACTGAATTTGGTCAAACAGAATTTGCAGAATCATCGCTTGGTTTTGCCTTGTCTTCAGCTTTTACGAGTGTACTCTTCCAACTGTGAGTGTCTGAGCGGCCTTTCAGTTAATTCTGTGTTGTGGAGTTACGCAAAGTGAAAATCTCAGAGTGCTTAACACTGTGAACTTTTTAAACTTATGGAAAAAGAAAGTGCAGCATAGGTATGGCTTGTTGTAGCTCCTAACTCCGTTCCCAGCAAAAGTGATGTAGGGTGAGAAGGTGATTTGACACCACCTGGAGTAGTCTCAGAAAACTTCCAGGTTTGTACACAGCTGGGGTGAGGTAGATGAGGAGGGAGCCCGTGGAAAGGAGGAGGAAGGGCATGAGGTGTTGGCAGCTAGAAAACTCCATTCCCACAGGTGGGAGGAAAGCTGAGAAGGAAGGAAGGTAGGGGGCATAGTCACACTGAGTGCATTAACTTCGATGCAGAGTAGGGCAGCAGATCCTGCCTGCGCTCTGGAGAAGGTGGGGAGGGGTCGCAGAGAAGCTCAGATCACAGTCTCTGGAGGAGGTGAGGGGGTCACAGAGGTAGTTCAGATTTCAGTCTCTGTAGGAGGTGAGGGGTCACAGAGGTAGTTCAGATCAGTCTCTGTAGGAGGTGAGGGGTCACAGAGGTAGTTCAGATCAGTCTCTGGAGGAGGTGAGGGGTCACAGAGGTAGTTCAGATCACAGTCTCAGGAGGAGGTGAGGGGTCACAGAGGTAGCTCAGATCACAGTCTCTGGAGGAGGTGAGGGGTCGCAGAGGTAGCTCAGATCAGTCTCTGGAGGAGGTGAGGGGTCACAGAGGTAGTTCAGATCACAGTCTCTGGAGGAGGTGAGGGGTCACAGAGATAGCTCAGATCACAGTCTCTGGAGGAGTTGAGGGGTCACAGAGGTAGTTCAGATCAGTCTCAGGAGGAGGTGAGGGGTCACAGAGGTAGCTCAGATCACAGTCTCTGGAGGAGGTGAGGGGTCGCAGAGGTAGCTCAGATCACAGTCTCTGGAGGAGGTGAGGGGGTCACAGAGGTAGTTCAGATCAGTCTCTGGAGGAGGTGAGGGGTCACAGAGGTAGTTCAGATCACAGTCTCTGGAGGAGGAGGTGAGGGGTCACAGAGGTAGTTCAGATCACAGTCTCTGGAGGAGGTGAGGGGTCACAGAGGTAGCTCAGATCAGTCTCTGGAGGAGGTGAGGGGTCACAGAGGTAGCTCAGATCAGTCTCTGGAGGAGGTGAGGGGTCACAGAGGTAGCTCAGATCTCAGTCTCAGGAGGAGGTGAGGGGTCACAGAGGTAGCTCAGATCACAGTCTCTGGAGGAGGTGAGGGGTCGCAGAGGTAGCTCAGATCCAGTCTCTGGAGGAGGTGAGGGGTCACAGAGGTAGCTCAGATCACAGTCTCTGGAGGAGGTGAGGGGTCACAGAGGTAGTTCAGATCCAGTCTCTGGAGGAGGTCGAGGGGTCACAGAGGTAGCTCAGATCAGTCTCTGGAGGAGGTGAGGGGTCACAGAGGTAGCTCAGATCACAGTCTCTGGAGGAGGTGAGGGGTCGCAGAGGTAGCTCAGATCAGTCTCTGGAGGAGGTGAGGGGTCACAGAGGTAGCTCAGATCACAGTCTCTGGAGGAGGTGAGGGGTCACAGAGGTAGCTCAGATCACAGTCTCTGGAGGAGGTGAGGGGTCACAGAGGTAGTTCAGATCACAGTCTCTGGAGGAGGTGAGGGGTCACAGAGGTAGCTCAGATCAGTCTCTGGAGGAGGTGAGGGGTCACAGAGGTAGCTCAGATCACAGTCTCTGGAGGAGGTGGGGGGTCGCAGAGGTAGCTCAGATCAGTCTCTGGAGGAGGTGAGGGGTCACAGAGGTAGTTCAGATCTCAGTCTCAGGAGGAGGAGGTGAGGGGTCACAGAGGTAGCTCAGATCACAGTCTCTGGAGGAGGTGAGGGGTCGCAGAGGTAGCTCAGATCAGTCTCTGGAGGAGGTGAGGGGGTCACAGAGGTAGCTCAGATCACAGTCTCTGGAGGAGGTGAGGGGTCACAGAGGTAGTTCAGATCAGTCTCTGGAGGAGGTGAGGGGTCACAGAGGTAGTTCAGATCAGTCTCTGGAGGAGGTGAGGGGGTCACAGAGGCAGCTCAGATCACAGTCTCTGGAGGAGGTCGGGGGTCGCAGAGGTAGCTCAGATCAGTCTCTGGAGGAGGTGAGGGGTCACAGAGGTAGCTCAGATCAGTCTCTGGAGGAGGTGAGGGGTCACAGAGGTAGCTCAGATCACAGTCTCTGGAGGAAGTCGGGGGTCGCAGAGGTAGCTCAGATCAGTCTCTGGAGGAGGTGAGGGGTCACAGAGGTAGCTCAGATCAGTCTCAGGAGGAGGTGAGGGGTCACAGAGGTAGCTCAGATCACAGTCTCTGGAGGAGGTTGGGGGTCGCAGATGTAGCTCCGATCAGTCTCTGGAGGAGGTGAGGGGTCACAGAGGTAGCTCAGATCAGTCTCTGGAGGAGGTGAGGGGTCACAGAGGTAGCTCAGATCACAGTCTCTGGAGGAGGTGGGGGGTCGCAGAGGTAGCTCAGATCACAGTCTCTGGAGGAGGTGAGGGGTCACAGAGGTAGCTCAGATCACAGTCTCAGGAGGAGGTGAGGGGTCACAGAGGCAGCTCAGATCACAGTCTCAGGAGGAGGAGGTGAGGGGTCACAGAGGTAGCTCAGATCACAGTCTCTGGAGGAGGTGAGGGGTCGCAGAGGTAGCTCAGATCAGTCTCTGGAGGAGGTCGGGGGTCGCAGAGGTAGTTCAGATCTCAGTCTCTGGAGGAGGTGAGGGGTCACAGAGGTAGTTCAGATCTCAGTCTCTGGAGGAGGTGAGGGGTCACAGTTGTAGTTCAGATCTCAGTCTCTGGAGGAGATGAGGGGGTCGCAGAGGTAGTTCAGATCAGTCTCTGGACACTCCCAGCGAGCAGCTTCACCCCCGTGAGGGTTTCCTTCCCGTTCTCTCACTGTGCAGTGACTGTCTTGGTAAAATAACACAAAATGCCAGGAGTGTGTATGTGTGTCTGTACTCTCATTAATATGGTGAAAGTTGTGCTTCGACGAAAATACCTTGTACACTTACATAATTAATATTTCTATAATGAAGAAGAGTGTAAGGAAGTGAACGATTTAGATTTCCAAAGAAAGCAGGTAAGAACAGTGCAATACTTATAGGAAAGGAAAAAGTGAAAAAGATACATTAGAAAAACAGAAAACGATTTCTAAAAATAAAACTAGTAGATTAAAAAAATCACAGAAGAGGAAAAAGGAAAATATAACCAAAAATGGCTAATAAATATGCACATTAGGAAATTAAGGTTATCATAGAAAACATTGAAGGGTGCATTTCTGATGCTGCTTTGTTGAATTCACACTAGAAGGCTAGAATATGGTTGCTCATAATTTTTAAAGAAATGTTCAGAATTGAAACCAATGGGCATAATTCTTTGCTTAGGTAATTGGGTCTTCGTTCTGAAATGTTACGATTGCTGCCCCTTTGGCCCTATTGCCATTGGTTAATATCTCTGATACCTCCCGAGCTCGGGTTTCCCTCCGATCTGTTTACTGTAGAGGCCTGCTAGCTCTGGTCTGCGTAAGACACACATCTGATTTGATGTTTCTTTTGGCCGACTCCCTGTTAGCTGGAAGAGACTCTTAATAATTTATTTTGTACTATATCTTCGCGCTCTTGGTCTGACATCATGTGTGTTGACAGCCTGTAGCAGCTTGTACCACGCCGTTCCTTGCTTCTGTTCAGTATTCTGGCTGCCCTTGTCTGCAGAGATCGCCTCCAAGGCCAGCCGCTGTCCTAGGGTCACACTCCCGCTTAGCCCAGCTGTCGCATGCCCTGGAACTGTCTCTGTCCCCTGGGTTAGGGTCTCCATGGTGCAACCCAAGGTGCCTAACTCCCTCTGTTTTGGAAGTTGAGTTCATGATTATTGGGCGTTGTTCCTGCCAGCCTTTGTGGACAGAGATGGCATTTAATTAAGTTTGTTAAATTTATTGAAGAAGGAAGTGGAATAGCTAGTGTTTTCTTAATGATTTTTTTCTATGCAATTTATTTTGAAATTTTGCTGTAATTTCCCATCTAAAAAAAAAAAATCTTCTCCGAAGGTTACCTTAGCTACGATGGACTTTGAGATCTGTATTTGCATTCATCCACAGCAATTTGTATATATTTCTGGCTAAGTATTACCAGATTAACAGCGTTTTAGTTATTGAAGTTTTTTTTAACCATTTTGCACCTTTTCTCTCCCTTCCAGCTGTGAATTCGGTGTCTTTAGGGAAAAACGGAGTTGTGGAATTGATGTTCAAAATCATTGGACCATTTAGTAAGAAGAATTCCAGTGTTATGAAGTGAGTCACGATCTGTTGTTAATTCCGGACATCAATATCCTGATACGTACAATGAGCAGGTTGAATTAAATTGTATCTAGCCTCCTTTCTTAGTTCTTAAATTATGACTTTTATCATGATCTGCTTTTGATCTTCAGATACACATCAACATTAGAATGTCTTAGATTTATTGATTCTGTAGTTTATAGAAATTTATACTTTGAACATTTCTGAATAGCATAAGAGGAAGAACACATATCATTCGCTCAGAAACATTTATTGAGTGCCTACTATATTTCCCGACCAGTTTGGCAGCTTTTAATGACCATTTTCTTCATTCTCACAATTACCCAAATGTGTCCTCAATTTACTGGTCTGTTTTGTCAGTCATGTCAGTCTTTGTCGCCTACGTGTGTGAATGTGTCTACATTTTCATCTTTCAACTGCAGTACATAAAGTGGCTTCTGGTTATTTGTTCACATTTAGTATTTTTAAAAACTATATTAGAGGTTATTTGAAAGATCAAATTGTGGAATTTGCAAACCTGCATGAAATATAGTTTATATGATATTCTATCAAATGATTTGCTTTGGTGGAATTACTCATTGCTTAATGTATGCAGCTATCAACATTTTTTCTACTTCATTTCATTTATTTCCTATTTAAACTGTTGTTTGTTTTTCCTGGGGTGCTTTTTCAAGCACATTGAAGTTAGTGTGTGTGTGTTTCTGTAAGCACATCCCAGACACTTTCTTTGACTGTTATCATTAATTTACTAAATATTGCAGTTACATAACTCTTACAAACAAGGACCTAAAATAGCCATATTACTATAATCATATGTAACTAAATTATTAATTAATCTGATCTAGCCTTCAGGTTTTTCCAGATTTCTGAAAACATCTGTATCTTTAGAGTTTGAATCAGAATTTGTACAAGGTACCTTCTTCCTTATTACATCGAGGAACTTTGTAAGCCTACGTAGAAGTAGAGAAAATAACGTAACAGGCTCATCTGCAGCTGTCCACTGACTTGAACAGTAATTGATATTCTGCCATTTTGCAGTTTTCTTTTTTTTCTTGCCTTGTTTATTCCGAGAGTATTTTAAAGCAAAGATTAGATATACATATTGAGAGAGGAAGAGAGACAGAGAGAAATATCTTCCATCTGATGATTCACTCCCTAAGTGACCCCAATGGCCCGTGCTGTGTCGATCTGAAGCCAGGAGCCAGGAGCTTCTTCCAGGTCTCCCACGTGGGTGCAGGTTCCCAAAGCTTTGGGCTGTCCTTAACTGCTTTTCCAGGCCACAGGCAGGGAGCTGGATGGGAAGCGGGGCTGCCGGGATTAGAACTGGAGCCCATATGGGATCCCTGTGCATTCAAGGTGAGGAATTTAGCTGCTTGGCCACAGCGCCAGGCCCCCAGTGTCCTGTTCAGGTCTGGTTTTGAAGTCGTTTGGGTTGCTTTTGTTGTGGCTGTTACAGAGACACTGTGAGTGTGGACAGCCCTGAGCTGTTACTGCTGGGTGGATACTGAGTAATGGACTGGCTGCCTTGGTGGTGACTGTTGGTTATAACTTTTGAAAATGACCTTTCTTTGACAGGCGAGATGTGTAGCTGTTGAAACACATCGAATATTATGGCAGTAATTGTTGTAACTTTTAGTTTTTTTTTCCTTGTCATTTTGTGTCGTATTTCCTTCTCTTCTTTTTGCATGCCTGCAAGTTTTTGATTGGGTGCCACAGATATCACCTTGCTGGTGCTGGAACTGTTTGTATTACTGTAAACGTTCTTGTGGTTTGTTCTGGGGTGTTGAAGTTCCTGGGATGCATCGGTTCTATTGAAGTCTTTTGGGGTGTTTCGGATGGGATGAGAGCACCGTTCTCCCACTCAGGTTTTGCTCCAGTGCTTTAGCCACAGCCAAGGCACAGTCCTTCCGAGTGCCCTGCCATGCACCCTTGGATTTTGAGGTTTCCAGGTAGCTGGTGGAAACAGGTACTGTGAGTCCTGGATACCCACGAAGCCTCTGAGGTGGCTTTTCCCTGTCTGGGGAGTTAGGTCCTGATCACACATGTCCCGATCACTGTGATTCTGGGTGTTCCAGCAGAACCCTCTGGAAATCTCTGGGCTTCTCTGACTGTGCAGGTTTTTCTGTTTTGTCTGTTGATTTTTGTGGGTGCTCTGTGAGCTGTGTTGCCCTGAGCTCTCTTCTTTCTGTCCAGATCAAATAATTCAGGTGCTAGAGTCTAGGACTCATGTAGAATCTGCCCTCCAATGCTATGGGTTGGTACCTCTATGAGTGTAGTAAGTGGGAGCAATTGTAGCAGCCACTTCGTTTGCATCTGTCTCTTATGGATATTTCATTACTACCTATCCAATATGTTGGACAGTTTTTCCATTTTGTCTACTTTTTAAAAAGTTAGGCCTTGTGAGGCGGTAGGTGCACTTATTATCGTTTCATCTTGTCTGGAAGTAGGAGTTTAGATTGCCTTCATATATATATATATGAAATATACTCATATTCATATATATATATGAATATATTTGTAGGAGTGACAGAGGCATTGAGAGAGTGAGGAAGAGAGTGGCAGGGGAGAAACAGAGAGATGGAATGAGTTGTCATCTGCTGGTTCACTTCCTGAATGCAACCATGAACTCTCCTGAACTCTACCTAAGTTTTCCATGTGGGTGTCTGCTGCTTTCCCAGGTGCATCAGCAGGGAGCTTGGACTTGAACCAGGGCTTGGAGGCTCAGATAGGGGATGCTGGCCTTATAGGAGAAGGCTTACTACTAGAAGCCATGCCAATCCATCTTACAGGAAGACTGGAATTTGTTAGTTTCTCATTTCCTTTCTCAGTGAGAGAAATTCCCTTGTCATTGAGGTATGTGTGTGTGTGTGTGTGTGTGTGTGTGTGTGTGTGTGTGAGAGAGAGAGAGAGAGAGAGAGAGAGAGAGAGAGAGAGAGAGAGAGGAGAGACTGAGACTGCTAAAATCTGTAGTTTCCTTGCCTGAAAATTGTTTTAAGAATTAAACTAGAGAACACGTAAATCAATCACCTTCATGGGAGGGTCTCATTTATTGTCTTAATGAACAATTTTCTTTTCCATTTGGTTTCACTGAAACTATAGTTTCATTTGAAAGAGCCATTTAGTTTTGTGTTTAATTATGACCAGTTTTGGGCTATCCTTATTCCAGTAGTTTTATAGTTCTATGTTTTATTGCATGGTTGTAAAAGTTTGACAGGTTTCCTACTGATGATTCACTGTGATAAAAACTGAGTAGATTGTTTCTTAGTTTTCATTTGCTTTTAAACTCAGCATTGCCAGCGCTTCATATTATTTAGAATCAGTTATAGGTATCAGTTGGTAATATTTTTGAAAGCCATGTATCTGACTTTTATTTTGTAAATGTTCTGATGAACCAACCTAAGCTTAGTTGTTAAGAAGTTACACTTGCTGGAAGTTTTGAGCGCTTACTTGCCCTGAGCTTGTAACAGATTTTGCTGTGAACCAGTGTTCGTCCCAACCATGCAGTATGTCATACTTCCTGTCCTTTACTACCAGTGTATGCAACTTTTACTTTATTGTCTCATTTTTGGTTTTAATTTATTGGGTTAGTTTCCTTCCTCCCTCCCCCCCTGCAGAAATGCTTATTTTATTTCATTTTGTAAATTGCATAATTATCTGTGGGAAAGAGAAGTTTGTATTCTGATTCTTATACCCATGGAGAACTTGCTGCTGTGGGTATGTAGTAGGCATTCAACAAATGCTGTTGAGCCAGACACTTAATTTTGGTGACATACATATTTTTAGTACAAATTAATCATAGTTGATATCTTACTTAGAGTTAACATCCACATTTTAATGCAGCTTACTTAGAGTTGTTGAATGTAAGGTATGTAGCCTTACATTTTTAAAGTTACTGAAACCAAACATTATTTTATTTAGTAACTCATTTTAAAAAATAACTTAAATACGGATCCTTCACAGTGATATTACATGTGTTTTAGAGTTGTTTAATATTAGCTAGTCTATTTCACTGTGTGTTAAGTGAATACTTACATTCCAAGAAAGTACAAGCTTCTTAAATATTTGAGGCTGTTTGTACTGTAGGAGACCAGTAGTGTTTGTGAAGTATTAGGCTCATTATGCTCTGTAGTGTCTTGTGGCTGAAAATTATCAAGTGTTCGTGCTTTTCTCTTTCAAAAATTGGAAATTCTAAAGTATCTTAAATTGGTTATTATTACCTTAAATATGAGGAATAGAACAGAAGTTAAAGTCAGAAAGATAAAAAAACAGCTTATGAGAAGTAAGAGTTTTGAACCTAATTTATGCTGAAACTTGGTTTTGTTTTAATTTTTTGCTAATCGGGACCTACAGATAGTATGGTTCTTTTGTGAAATCTCTCAGGGTCAGATATAGGTATGATAATTTTTCCATTTATCCAACTCCTGATATAAAACACACATTCTTTTTTTTTTTTGCCTCCTTAACTTATGTTTTTGATGCTATTTCTATTTTCTTCCTCGTGTCCACTTTCACATTGAAGGGGGAGAGATGTATACAGAGAAGCAACATGTTTAATTGATGCTAACAAGAATAAATTTTGGAATAGATAATGGGATAATTATCTGAAAAGATTGTATGGATTTCCTATTGTAGATTAATTTTACTAGTGTTGTTGTTGTTTGTGTTTTCTCATGTTGACAGGGTTGCTTTAGACACTCTTGCTGCATTGCTAAAATCAAGTAAGTTTTTAAATACTAGAAATACTAGATAACTTTCTGGGCATTCTATTTATTCTTTTAAAGAAACTGGAGATGTGGTTTTAGTTTACAATGGTAAAGGTGGTTCTAATAGCCTATTGTCAACGTTGATTTTGCATTCTAGTGCAGTTGATAGATGTTATAACTCTTGTCATTGTTGAGCTGTAATCCATTTAGTGTGTTAATATAATGCAAACATTTATATCCTAAATCTGCATTAATATAAACATAAAAACCTGTTAGTATAGGAAAAATATATATGTATATGTGTATATATATTAAAAATGAGACCAACATGAGATTGAGAATTCGTGAGAAATAAGTTGAACAGCTACTGTCTATGTATAACCCATGATTTTAAGTTAAACCTTATTGTTAGAAATATTGTTCATACCATAACTACATATGTATAAGTTGAAAAAGTAACTGTCAATTTAATCTGATAGATACATTTACAAAATAAAGCACTGTTTATCTTCATAATGAAAGCATCAGAGTAGATGTGTCCGATATGGGCCTTTTTGAGAGTTAATCCACATTTGCGTATTTTTCTTTCCAAGATGTTTAATATCACTATTTTAAACACTAATTTTCATTAGTACTCCTTAGAATATATAGTCAGCATTTTGTTGCGTTATGAAAATATGACATTTGGTCTTAAGGATTTATGTTGACAGTTTTCCTGTGGTTCCCACTGCCAACATAAAAGAAAACTGCCCAAGATGGGACCAACTGGCCTTTTAGTTTGAGTTACCCTAATTTTTAAAATAATAGTAGATGATTAATTGGTTGAAATATGATATTTGAGAAAGTAGTGGCTTATTAATTTTTTAAAATTAAAAATTCAAGCATTAAAAAATTAATAGAAGAGTCACTTTAGGTATTAGTATTCTGTTCCAGAGTCATCAAGTGGTAATTTTATTCTTGAAATGAAACAAATATATGGTATCCACTTAGATTAACCCCGTTTTTATTTATGATGTAATAAACTTTAAACCAACTTTAAAAGGCACTTTGATGTGTCCTGACTATGTGGTTTAAGTTGTGTAAAGAGTGATGCTTAAATGAGTGTGGGTGTATACTTTTGAGTGGCAGTGGATGAGAACAGATGTTTAAACTCAAGTTTTATTAAAAGTTACTGGTTTTCAGAATCATAGATGTCAAAGTCTCCTAATTCTGAGTCAGTAAATCTAAGACTTCCAGTGTTTCCTGTATTTTTAATGAATCAGTTGACTGAGATGACTAAAGTCAGTTTTCTTTAGAAGTTTTTATCTTACTCCCTGCCTTACTTCAAAAGGTGGTAGCCAGAGATACCTATTGAATGCATCAAGATTGAAAATGAGCTTTGAGAATGACTTACATCAGGAGTGGGCACCCTTATTCCTGTTGAAGACCATTTGGATATTTGTAACATCATTCCTGCACCATACAGATTTTCAAGTTAAAAATCTGTCTGCAGTATATTTATTGAATTTTGTGTCCCACCTGTGGTTACCTAGGAAGAACCAGACCAAGTGATTTCTTGAGCCTTACACGGCCTGTGGGCTGGTTGGTCCCCACCCATGCTTTAAATGAGTGTTGCACTAAATAGGATAAACATTTGATAAAGCAAAATAATGTTTAGTAGCACATCTTGCAGATTTTTTGTGAACCATGGCTATTTTGGAGGAGTCACAGTTATTAAAAAAAAAAAATTCCTTCCTTGTTTTGTGAAGGGGAGGACAGACTTGGCTTAAAAGGATAGAATGAGGCTACTAATAATTGTGGTAAAGTGCAAAGCAAAGAATAAGAATCCAGAACGTGTTCAGTTGCCATTGCTGAAATATGGATTAGCCACCATAACCTAGAGATTAACCTAAGATGAGTTTAACTTAAGGGAGGGAAGAGGAGACTGGTGGGGAGTTTGCTGCCCTGAACACGTGCATAAGCATTCTTTTACTGATCTGTTTTCATTGTACTCAGTACAGATTGCAGGTAGTTCGTTTACATTTCCTTTAAGATTCACTAAGCACCATGTTCCACTTATGGCCAGGTTTCTTATTTGATCTTTAATCAAGAATTTTAGTGTTTCTCATAAATACCAGTTAGGGCTACTGGGAATTCTGGCAGAAGCGCACCAAGTTTGTAGAAGAATCATCACTTTGTCTACAAACTAAGGCTTATGTAGTCTCACTGGTGCAGAGTATTTATTTACTTAAAATTCATGAAGTGTTTGTGGTCAGAACAATTGGAACTGTTGTAGATAGCCACAGCCTTAGAAAACTTCATTCTTAGATCCAGTAGAGATTTTAACGATTTCATGTAAGAAAGCCGTCTCCCTGGTAAGTTTCTCCCGCAAAGCTCTGAGAGGGAATTACTAAGTTGCTCTCAGTGTTACATTTTGGGGATGTGTTAGCACCTTTGGAATTCTTTTCAGGAGACTAAAATCAGTAGAACACTGCTGTTGTTTTATTCTTCGTGTCAGTGCAAAGACCCAGGGGGACATTCCTTTGACTGGCCAACCTCAACTAGGTTGGTATTGCACATTATCCTGTACTCCTTGTAACCAGCCACTAAAGTAGTATTGGGTGACGCGGCGATTTGGTGCAGGGCTAGGATAGGAGTCCCTTGCTGCTATGTTTCAGTTAGTAATTATAAATGTTAATATGGAATTAGGTCAATCCCAATAAAACTGACCATTTACAAAAAAGTATCAAGTTTTCATTATATTAAACATCTTAATGAGCAAGCACTATTTTCTAATCATATAAGGCTCTTTACCTTTTATTTAATAAATGATTGTATAATTTAGCATTGTGATATCATGGATATTTATATGGTAATTAAGGGATAATTACAACAGTCAGTTTTCATGAAAGCACAAAATTTGCAGCAAGGAGGTGCAAGTGAACGAAGTTAATGGGAACACGATGCTTGTAATTGAAGTTAGGAAATCAGTAATGACCTTTAGCAAGATTGTATTCACAGCTGGCAAGCTAAAGGCTGGTTTATTAAAATGTAGCCCTAATTTTATTAGAGAGATTTTTGGTATTTGTATATCACAAAGCAATTTAGGGGCTAGTTTTGGGAAAATGTTCTAGAAATGGTCTTCTTTTTCTTTTACTTGTTTTTTTTTGAAGAAAAAATAGTTAAATTTGTGATTGCCATTTTTTTTGGAAATAAATAAATGTAAGAATTCATCATGTTGAAGTTATGTTTGTAGTTTGATTTCTTCTACTGCTTCTCTTGTTATTTAAAAGGTGTTCTTTCTCAATTTTCTTTTGTTAAAGAAACAAATGCCAGGAGAGCTGTAGACAGAGGATATGTGCAAGTGCTTTTAACAATTTATGTAGATTGGCACCGCCATGATAGTCGGCATAGAAACATGCTCGTCCGAAAAGGAATTTTACAGAGCTTAAAAAGTGTTACAAACATCAAGTTGGGAAGAAAAGCATTTATTGATGCCAATGGGATGAAAATTTTGTATAATACTTCACAAGTGAGTTGTTTTCTTCCTATTATTTTTGATGCCTTTATTACATGATTTGACTTTTCAGAAAACTGAATGTGTGTGGAATACCCATAAACAAAATGTAACGAACATATTAAAAAAGATCTTACCACCAAAAATCAAATAATTTCTCACGTGTGACCTCAGACTGAGTGGGAAGATTACAGTGTGTGATTTTTTTCCCCCTTGCAAATATCAAAGGAAGGTGTATAAGTCATCCACTGTGTTGGAAAGAATTCCAGGTAGCTACGTTTGCTAGACTAGCTGCCAACATTGCCAGGTGCTTGGGTATCCATTGTAGCTGCTGAGGCAGTTGTGTTGTCCTGTGACTGCTCTGCGTCTCTTTTCCAGGACACAGCATGTCTTCAATAGAAATTGTTCAGTAATGAAGCCTGGAAGTGGGAATGTTAAGTCTGCCAGTTTTTCCAAGAATAACCAGTGTTGATTGAATATGAATCTCTTTCTAGTGCGTGCAACTCTTTTAACATATGTAGAAGAGTTTCAACTTTGGGGAACACAACTTTGCAACACAACTCGTGTTTCTTGTGTTTCAAGGCTGTTGTTATCAGAAAGAAGTTTGTCATTTAAAAAATATTAGGATCTTGGGTGTCCCTCTTGGCAATCGGGTGATCTTAACACATGAGAAGCATTACTTCCTACGTGACAGTAGTTAAAGATATCTTCACACGTATTTTATGTTTACATTTAGCTTTTTTTTCCCCCTAGATCAACCATATGCCCTTGTTTTTTTGCTGTTTCTAGTGTATTCAGTGATGGATAGATGAGTATGAGGAAGAATTAAGTGACTAAACTAATTAACATTTCTGAGCTTAATTGTTTCATTTTTAAAAACAGTTAAGATGTGGAAAGAAATATTGAAATTTATAGTGTATTACAGTGCCATCTAAATGTCAATTGGCAAAGTAATATTACTTTTGTATAACATAGTTTCAGTTTCCCCATGTGTGAAGCCTTCTCAAGATGAGAGCCCAGGCAACAAATCCAGCTTTTAAAGCTGAGATATTCAGGCTGTCCTCCACACTGAAAAGCCAACTTAAGAGATGTACCATGGTATGAGAGCTCATACAATTCTGAGATAGACTGTCAAGCAAATCTTTTTTTTTTTTAAATAAATTTAACATATTTTGTACTTAGTCTTTCCCTTCTTCCCCTGAATTTATTTATTATTTTTTAATTTCATGCTTAGACCTCTGCTTAGTGCTTGGTTAAATGGGTAAGGACAAATCCTACTAAATTTGCCAAGTTGTCATCCAACCTAAAAATATATACTTCTGGATAGTAAAGCTGCTTTATAATGACTCCATATTGCAGTATTGGTGTTCATGATCATTTGTCTGTAGAAAATTATCAATATATTTCTTAAGTAACGCAAAATTGGCCTCAGTTATTCACCAGCAACCTTTGTCTTACTTGCTTATTTATTCTTTTCTTAACCAACAGGAATGTTTGGCAGTCAGGACTCTTGATCCACTTGTGAACACCTCCAGTCTGATCATGAGAAAGTGCTTCCCCAAAAATCGCCTGCCACTGCCAACCATTAAAAGCTCTTTCCATTTCCAGTTGCCAGTTATTCCTGTGACCGGCCCGGTGGCCCAGCTGTACAGTTTACCCCCTGAAGGTAGGAGCACTGATTGGATTAGTTGTTGGAATTGTAGGATTCTGTTGCTGGGTTTCTGTCTAACTTGTTTCCAGGTCCTCAGTGAAAGAAGACTGTAACAAGCATGATAAACTTTCACATTGTAGTTTAGTTAGTAGATATTTCTATAAATGTTAAGAACTTTAGTAATTAAGCAAAATGTTATGGGAGGAGTTACATACATGTAAATGTGAACTTTGGAAAAAGTTGAACATCATATAGGAACATCATTTGATAGTTTATATCGGTTTTCAAAGAGTGTTAAAGGTAATCATGTAGGGATTTACATGTGCTTTTTTCCTCCAAGTTGTAAGAACCTAATTACCAAAATTGTTATGATTTATGATGAACAAAACTTGCATATAATATACTGGAATGAAAATAGGAAATTACCAGAAGTAGCCTATTCGTGTGTGTGTGTTTAATACTTGTGTGTATGCAGTAAAGGAAGAGTTTGATGAGATCTAGGAACATGGGTAAGTCAGAAATCCAGGCTATTAATAGAGTTCTTATAATTTTTTTCTTATCCGAGAACCATGATTTTGAAAGCAGTTGAAAGTCTTTTATAAATAAAACACTTATTTTAGAATTCTCAAATGTTTCAGTCTTACTATCCTTTATATAAGTTTGTTAATGGTAAATATCAATGCACACTCTCATGATTCCGTTTAAAATAATTGTTTAGTTGACATAAAATATCAAACTGGATTATTTAGAAATCACTTTTAAAACGGTTGAAAGTATGACATTAAGTTAGGGACTTAGGAGTCAGAAAACTAAGTGAAATGGTGGTCTGACTCCTTCTGATTGCATATGAAATTAGCAATAGATTTTAAAAATTTGCTTATCTATTTATCTATTTATTTATTTATTTCAATTTATTACTTTGCATTATGTGATACAGCTTTTTTAGGTATTGGAATTCTCCCCTCTCCTCCCCCAATCCTCCCCCCATGATGGATTCCTCTACCTTGTTGCATGTCCATAGTTCGATTTCAGTTGAAATTCCTTCCCTGTGAGCCTATTCCTAGCATAGAGTCCAGCATCTCATCATCCAGATAAGTTCAACAGCTTCTTGGGGAAACCCTCTCTGGTCCAAAGTTAGGGCCAACAAAGCAAAATCATGGTCAGTTACAAGCCCAAATGTAACATCAGCAGCAATATACAATATTGTGGAACTAATTGACATTAGTATTGAGTAAGCAAGTTCTTAACCACATCCTGTGACTACTTCGATGACATTTCAACAGTTGAGGTGCGAAACAGTTTAGGAGGGGTGTGCAGAGAAATTCTCAATACCTTCCTGAGGAGTGCTTAATCTTCATGTCCTTCCTAGTGAGGTGTGTATGAGTTTATGCTCATCAGGCTTTCCTTTTTGTTCTCTGCCTATCTAGTCTAACTTGTGTTTGGAGGGGGGGCTCTGGAGCAACCCCAATGGTCATCGCAGAGAGGTTGAGGACCCAAAGCTGGAACCAAGCAAGGGCCAGAGAAAGCTCCTCTTCCCAATTCTGAAGGAGGTTTACTGTTCTTCTAGTTCTGTGGACCACTCAGGGTTCCTGTCTGTTGTTCCGAGGGCCGTTGGTCCCACGATGAAGGGCTCGGGCTTCTTCCATCCCGTATGGTAGGTCTGGTTGGGGTGGGGGATGTCCTCTGAGTTCTCGGCCTCCGAAGACATTCCAGTTCCCCGTGGTCTCTTTGGCAGTTGGGATGTAGTCCTTGGTGCCTGCATTGTCAGTCCTTGGTGGGGATCCGGGAGTCTCCAGGGTTGGGACACAAGCCTCCTCCTGTTCACCTGCTCCACTCTGGGTGCCTCCCTTGCTCTGTGCATGTGACCACCTGTTAATGGGTTGCTAAGATCGCTTTTGATTCCCCCGTATGTCTTTGTGTTTTTACTATTAGCAATAGATTTTTAAAAGAGGGAAAATTTGTACTAAATTTGAAAACCAGATGAGAGGGGCATCCTCATGGAACAAACATATAATAGTATGGTAGATACACAAGTGTATTAAGGAAGACATCAAATTTCTACTTCTCCATATATGAAATGCCACATCCCTGGCTCCATGTTCAAATGCCAGTAGCACCTGATCTCCCATATCTCAAAATAAATTTAAGAGTACAGGGTCTTAAATGGATATTCTAATGGGTAGGCAGTTGGTGACACACCATGATAGGACATAACCTGTATTATTCTTTACTCAGTGGCCAGATTGATGGATAGAATTCACCAAACATGTGATAGATGAAAAAGGTGTTATTTTTCTGCTGATTCCTTTCTGCTGCTTCTCAGACTTATGAATTGCTGCCCTAGAAAAGCCTTCATGGTTCACATGTGAGGAAGAACTCAGATATTACCTCTTTCGGCACAGGGGAAATACCCTCATTCTGTTCTCTGTTACTTCCTCACATCTCAGTCTTTGGTATATATGTAATATATGTGTTATATACTATATACTATATAATAATATACATATAATATAGAATATATTATATATTACACATCATATGCAATATAACATATATTATATAACACAGCATATATTATATAATATGTAATATAATGCACAATATATGTCATGTATAACACATATAATATATAATGTATGATATATTATAAGACATTATTGTTATGTAATATATTATTATAAATTATATAAAGCATATTTATACATAAAATATTACATATATAACATATATGTAATATAACATGTATTGTATGTTATATATTATATATAATATATGCTATATGTGTGTTATATATAACATATATTGCATATATACCAAAGACTGATATATATATGTGTGTGTGTATATATACCACAGATTGTATATGTATATATATATACATACACACATATATTTTTGATATATATATCAAAATCCTTATATTTTACATTCCTCAGCTTGAATATAAATTCCATAAGGACAGACCTGAACTGTTTTTCCCACATTTCTGTTTCTAGTTATGTAGTTTTTTCCCCATCAGCAGCATACCAACCAATTGTAGTTCATCCCAGTGAGTGTTCTGCAATTCAGATGACCTGGAGTTAGTGCCAACCCCCACAGGCAAGGAAAGGCTCAGTCCTACAAAACAAATCCCTTTTCTCTGGCTGTGGGACTGGTGGTGGAGGGCAGTTGTCATGGTTGGTAGTTTGCTAGAATGGCTCCCAGAACTCAGGGACATGATTCATGTACGTTTACTGTTTTTTGTTTTTGTTTGAAGTATAGGATGAACTCAGGCACAGCCGCATGGAAGAGAGGCACAGGGACCTATATGGGCGAACAGGTGTGGAGCTTTCGTGGCCTTTTTAGGAACAGTATCCTCCTAGCCCCTTCATTGGTCACCAGCCCAGAAAATCTCTGGGCTCACTGGAACCAAAGTAAACCAAAGGATTTTAATGATGATCCCTTTCATAAACAATGATCAGATCACTGACAGTGGGTGAGAGGCTCAATCTCCAGTCCCTTTCTCCTCCCCAGATATTGATTTTTAGCTACTAACCTCTATCCTGAAGCTATATAGGGAGCCACCACAAGTCACCTCCTTAGAACGGAAGACACCCCTATCCCCAAGTGATGTGAAGACAGGAACCTGTAACTGTGAACCAGGGACAAAAGTGAATACACTGTGCTGGAAGAGTGAGCACTCCAGCCTGCTGGGTCACTTGCTAAGTGTCTCTGACACCTGGAGCTGAACTGAGGCTGAAATCAGGAGCTGGGAGCTCAGCCCAGAGCTCTCGGATGTGATAGGAGCTCTTGCTGCCTCCATGCTCTGAACTGGAAACTGGAATTGACAGCAAGACCTGGGAGTTGAACCCAGGCACTCCAGGATGGGATGCCAGCATCTTAATTTGTTTAACGTCTGAACCAAATACCTGCTCCTGAAATATGTATTTAATCTCAGTAAGACTATTATTTCTTCTTTGTTTTCTCTTTAGCATCCATTAGATTTCATGGGGCATATGGTTTAGTGTTTGCTGAATGAATCGAGTTAGCCTGAAGACTTATTCTTTCAAACATTAAATATAGTGAAATAGTATCTATGGAGAGTTGAAGAAAAGGGTTTCTGAGTTGAGGTCTCTGAGCCTTTATTAGTTGCCATGATAGGTGAAGGTGTTATATACCTTGGAATGTTAGGGCGCATGGTTATACTATCCAAGAACCCTTCCTGAGGTTATTGTGTGAAATACTATTCCAGCCGGTCAAGTGATGAATTATAGATGTCAAGAGTACAGAAGACATGGAATAGTAATTGTGTTAAACTTTATTAGCTACATAATACTAAATAGCTGTTGTACTATTATGAAGCGTATCAACTAATTCTACGTAAAAGATAAGATACAGTTACTATAAATGGGGTCTTGTACATAAATAAACTAAAGTTTGCACATGAAACAGTAACATTTAGATCTATGATGCTTAGAATGGGGTCACTGAACCACAGGAATCCACGGATGGGTTTCAGAGACTGAACACTTTGAAAACCTGTGTGACATTATTATTATTATTATTAGTTATTCTTAGAAGAACTTGCTGAAGGATAGACGTAAGAAAATTTCAAAGATGCACAAAAATGCTAGAGTGCTAAATACAAAGCAAGAACAAGGAAAGCCATTTTAGTAACAGTAGACATTAGTAAATGAAGTACTCCTATTAAAAAGGGTAGAAAAAGGGTAGGAGGACTGGCATTGTGGTTAGAGGTTAGAGCAGTCGCCTGTAAGTGGCTGTTTGAGTCCTGGCTGCTCCACTTGCCGACCAGTTCCCTGCTGGTGGCTTGCAAAGGGCAGAGGAGGATGGCCTGAGTTCTTAGACCCCTGTATCTGTGTAGGCTGGATCCAGCTATTCCTACTGTACTGGCTGTACTTGAGTCCCTGCCATACACTGTGGAGACCCGGGTGGAGTTCCTGACTCCTGGCTTTGGTCTGTCCTGCCCTGGCTTTTGGAGGCATTTTAGTAGTGACAGCAGTAGGTGAAAGATTGTG